GTAGACATATTCTTTGCTTATGTGAAAAATAATGGTCCGGACAACCTTCCAGCAGGCACTGCGGGAGAACACTTTGAAATCAAGATGTACATATCTGCCTTGGACGACTCTGGTAATATGGATGACCCGGAAGAGGTGACTACATATATCAATGGAGATTCAAAAGTCGACGAGCTTCCTGCATCAGACGACAAATCATATTCCAGTACTGGTTTTACCATTAAATATCCCTCATCAAAGTGTTCTACTCACAGTCATTTATGTCTTAAGATTGTAAAGAATGGAGTATATACTGATAATGATCCAACAAATGACTTTGTATGTTTACCATTCATTAAAGGAGTATCTACAGCGGCTGTAGGATTGACCAACTGCCAATCAGGTACAATATTTGTCGTTATAGTTCGTGATTACTAATCTAAGAAACTGAATTACTCTCCAAATAAGAAGGTACTGTGTTTGGCCATCACTGTATGTGACTGTGCCATGAGCGAACACTATCATAATATACGAGCCTTAACTCCACCACCCAATCAATTGACAGAAAAAAATACCTTCACTAGTAACGAAAACACATTTTCACTGTCTCACAAGCACACTTGCATTTAGTACTTGTAATGCAATTCTGAGTGTATTTTTACTGCCTTTGAGTGTGGCATCTGTTCGCATATATACTAAGGTACAATTTATTAAATTAATCACTCATTTATGTTTTCAGACGTTATTCCAACATCTATTAGTGTATCTGACCCAAATCCGACAAATTTCAGCTCAAATGAACCTGTCAACGCTACATTCATTATAGTTCTGCAAAATGCTGGTGGAACGAAAGTGCCTGGATCAACACCAACCTCGGATAACATCGCATTTTCTTCGATCTTTATTGCAAATGCAGCGAGTGAGTCTGCATCAATAAAGAGCGACCTCACCGACTCGTTAGTGTACACATGGTATGACGTCAGTCGTAGTATAGATGAATGGGGAGAAGTGACGTATGATAATTTGAAAGTGACAATAGCCATCCCGGAAGTGAATTGTAAGGAATATCAGTATTTGTGTATTCGATTTGTAAAGGGTATGTATAAGTTTAATGCTATGATAAGCACATATTGCATGGCCATGAGGGCACTAGTATACGTCTATTTCTACGGTACCGCACAACCCCGAGGGGAAAATAGTCGTATACTAGTGCCCGAATTAGACCATGCAATATGTGTTTTATAACACATTACACGTAGAATTGCTGGAGGAACGTGCATAGATCTTTTGCTGTCTTCTTCTCGACGTCTGCTAGCGGTGTCCCGATTTCTTCACAAAACGATGTAAAGACGCTTTTAGAAAATCTGATTGCATCCTTCGTCTTCGGTGCATCTTTATTTTCTACTAGTGTGTCAAGTTCTTCTTGTGAACTGAAGCTAAATCGTCCAGTCTTTCGAGGCGGACCATCGATATCAACGACCGAACTAGCAGACGATATATTGGAAATCACACGATCAGGTGACGAGTGACGTCATCCCCGGGCACTAGTTGATCTGATGTACTAGTCTCCCTAGGTAACTAGTAAGGATTTTCCGTGGCGCTACTATGGTAATTTAGCCGACAACACGTGATCCTGTTTTGACCAATTACATTACAGTATTAACGAGTGATGTGTTATAAATCAAACTAAAGCATTATCTGGAGACAGACTAGTATTTGATTGGTCAGGATACTGAATCATTTTGACCATTTCTGGGGAATTGCTTTTCCCATCACAACGCCTTTTCTTCGGAATGTAATAGACAAAGGCGCCATTGGTATGTTCTTGTCCGCTGTGAGGGTATTTCTTTGAGCGTGTT